AATTCCCGAAGCTTTCAAGAATCGCAGTTCCACGGTTCGTAATGCGTTGCTTGCCCCTAATTCCATGACCAACGGTTGCAAAAGGAGATACCAATTTATCCAGCTTCCGAAGGATTACACAGGCATCCTATATCCGCCAATTGTCGCAGAGATATAGCTCGCCGATAAAGCATAAGTTACTGGACCCGACGATACCCAGTTTCCACAGTGAAACGTCCGCACAGCTTTCCAGTTATTCTGTTTCTCTTAAATCTCTTAAATCTCTTTTCGACGTATCCTCCAATTCCCTTCAAGGTACACGAGAGAGATTTAACGACGAGACTGGCCTGAGAACACCCTTCAACGCGGTTCCCCGAAGAGCGTCTAATTATTTTGGCGCTTGAGCTGATCAAATGCACTTGATTACGCCGCGCAGCCAGCGGAAAATTCGATTTCCCGTTCGTCTCACCTGGTGATCCTGGTCGTTCACCTGCGTCGCATTTTTCACGGGGATTAGCCGAACCACCCCTGCCCGGCTTTTGACGGCGTGTCGCGCTGGGCACGTCTCGGCCGGCGAAAGAGCCTCCTTTGCATCGGCTCCAATTCGGCCGGATTTGTTTCGGCACTTGGGGTGTGGTAAGCCGACATGAGACCCACGCTCCCAGCCCGCTCCTAATAACGAGGAATTATCGCGGCGATACAATGAGCCCGCGGGAAATCCTCTTTGATGTCTACCACAGAAAATAATACCGCCCTAATAGAGTGAGATTACGGGGAGCGCGTCGCGTCCCTGGGAATCACACTTGCCGCGAGTCCTGTGGTATCGGATCGCCCGCCTGTTACCCGTTTATCTTTGATTTGTGGTTTCAATTTCGACCAGTGAAGACGTGGGATTGTTTTTCACGCAGGGAAATGGATGCGAAACTGATGAAGAATATTTTTTTATAAGAGAAGCAGATTACACATTACACATACTATCGACCAGAGGCCACGCGAAGGAACGTGTCTATAACAAGTGAATAACGAAACAAAGAAGAAATGTGGGAGCGAACGCGTCCCAGACGAATTATTTTTGTTGGTGGAGTTTTTCGAGTTACTGTTTTACTTCAACAGAAACTTTCTTGATCTCTGGGAGGGGCTTGCGAATGCGTTCGGCATGTTTTGGGGGTGAGTTTCTTTATAAACAGTGATACATTCCAGTGATAGTCATTGTTGTGGTAATCTTATAGAGACAGTCATTATAGGAATGACATCATAATGATAGTTAATATAATATGTTGTGGGATTGTAGTGTAGGTTAGTGAGGAGACAATAAAACACAATTCACACCCACGTTTTGCGTTCGCGGAAGTATCAAAATCTGGTATTTATTCGTATTTTTTATACAGCACGGTTGTACGATGTACTTTTCGGACTAACGCGTCGGCGGTACGCTGCTCCAGTTAATAGTGGAATCTCGAGATGCCGTTTTTCTACTGTTCCAATTGAAAGTCGGATGTCGCTCGTCTACTGTTGTATGCCGCACGCCGAATGCTCCAAAAATGCTTAAATACCGTCCGCCGCGTTCCTCTGTTCTACCGGGGTTATACACCCCGTCCAAGACAGAGAACCGCGGATGGACAAATCAATCAAAAACGTGGCGACGAAGTCGCTACAATGTAAAGCACTCCTATTCGTTGATCCGGCTCGAAATACCAAATGTAAAACACTCTGACTGTTTACCGATGGCATCCGGCTTGTAAGACCAAATGTTAAATAATCGGACTGTCACGAGTACTTTGAACATATGCTGAGTTTTACTAGTCGAAGGACCATCCAATGTTGGGACTAAGACTTCTAAATGACTAATTGACTGAATGATTGACCTCCCTGAACGGAGGTTTTCTGAATTGTTTCTAACTTGTTCCTGATTGAACGTGTTCCTGTTTCTAACTCTGACTGACTCAAGGATTTCTGTTCCCTTCTAACTCCGTTCTGTCCTGATTCTGAACTTAACTGATTCTGATTCTAACTGATTCTCTGACAAGGGTTTTTATAATTCTCCTGGGCCCACTCCCTCTCGATGTACGAAGGTGGGGCCTCAGGGGCGGTTTTTTCATCCCTTCCTAAATATAATAACCACTCCTGTATCATCCACTTCCAGTACGCCCGTAGCACTATATTTCCCTGGAGCGGGGGTGACAGAGTTGGTCGCTACGCTTGACGAATGTTTGGCAACGTTAGGGAAATTCCGTTAGGTCAAGATCGTTGAGGACACTTTTTTCTGAAATTCTAACGGACTCTCTGAAACACGACTTTACGATACCTGGGCTGAAGTGAAAAAATAAACAATGGTCGATTTCTAAACTAAACTCTTATGTACCGGATATTAGCTGCTGGCCGACTTGCTAAAGTACCGAACGGATTGCTAATGGCTATGAACGTCTCTACGAATATTTTACCGTATCATAAAATTGTTCCCTTGTTGTCGTAACACGATGGTAACATTACAACGGCAGTCATTATAGTGATAATATTATAATGATAGTCAACACGGTAGGGTGGCCGCAAATCAACCGGTATCAGGCAACAGTACGAAAAACCGACGTTCAATTACGCGAAGCAATAGAAGCGGAATCGAAGGGAGGCGTTTGGGTTGCCTGTGACAATCAGGCTCGCCCCCGCCCGAAGTATATTCAGGCGGTGTGTCGCGGGTTCCGTGGCGGCGTGTCGAATCCGCGCGTCGCGCCTCCGTGTTTCGGGCCCGGCGTCGGGCGACATCGGATGTATCAGAAGGCTAATTGTCTTTTG